TTGTGGGGTTTACTAATTTTTTTTTTGGGGGGGGGGATTTATTTTATTTCTTTTTTTTTTTAAAGTCCAGCAGCCGGTGGTTTCTGTTCCACACAAGTTTTACTCCCCCGGTGTGTGTCTGCAGTTTCTGCAGCGGCAAAAAGACTTTACCGCCTCGAAACTGTTTGACAAGCGTGGCGTTTTACCCCTTTCCTTTTCTTTTATTAGTGGAGTTTTAAATGAGGTGCGGGCGGGGAGAAACGCCCACCCGCATTGTTGCAGACCCATCCCGATAACTCTAACTTGTGCTTCCATCCCCAAAGTACGGTTAAAGCCCCAAGCCTTTAGGGGGAACGAGTAGCCGGTTCCCTACGATTTAACTCCGAAAGCGATCCTAAGATGCGGAGGGGGTTGGGAAAACGGGGCTGTCTGGCGATGACGGGCTGCACGGCGCCTTTCCCGGGCCGCGGCTGCCCATCCTCGCCACGCGGGCGGCGTGTCCCCGCCGGCCGTGCCTGCCCGGTGCGGAGCGGCTGCCGCAGGTGCGGCCCCGGGCGCGCCCCGCAGTGCACACCTGTAGCGCCGGCCAGCACAACTTGGTGCCAGCGGCGCGGCGGAGGGAAGGACAGGGGAGGGGGACCCGCCGGTGCCCGCCATCCCTCCCTCACCTTGTTTTACGGCGGGGAGAGGTGGCAGCTGCTTTTCTGGTATCACTACTACTCGCGGAGGGGTCGGAGTGTGTGCACGCCCCGAGACGGGGCAAAACGCGTGTCTGTGGGCTGGCGTGACACGTGCTGTCGGTCGCACAGGTCGCGGCGTGGGGCCTTTCGCCCTCCTGCCCCCGGCCCGGTGCGCGGCGTTGCCGGCTTGGGGAGGACAGTGTGGCGGAGGGCGATGGCGTCCTGCCGCTCCCGCAGCTCAGCGCCGCTGCAAGTCGCTCCGGTCCCCGCCGGCGTGTGCCCGTGCCCGGCGCCAACAAGTTTTAACTGCCGGCTCCGGGAGGCGTTTTCGCGGAGCGGGAGCGGGGCGGGCGGCGTGCCCCCGGCGCGGCACGTAGGCAGCGCCCGGCTGCAGGGAAAACAAAGGGCTCGCGTGTGCTGCGGGCGGTGCGGCTCCCGGCGCGCCGGGGGACAGCGCTCAGCCGCGCTGGGGGAAGCTCGGCCCTGGCGTGGGGGGGGGGGGGTGTCGGTGGGAGTGACACTTGTTCCGCGCGGGACAGTGTTTTTTAGGGGGCTGGCTGCCGTTTTTGGAGGAGTTTGGAGGAGCGGCGAAACTTTGGATGTGCCCGCGCTCCCCGTGGCACCGCCGCGCTTCGCGCACGGCGCTGGGGCAGGCGGGGGAGCCCTGCCGGTCGCCCTGGGTCTGCCGCGGGGTCGGGGGTCCGAGGGAGAGTCCGCATCGCCCCCGCCGCGGTGTGACCGCGTTGCTGGGAGGTCTGCGACGGCCCTTTGAAGTGAAACTGTTGCCATGTTTGAATTACGTCAGGGCCGAGCCATGAGGAACCGGCGCGGGGCGGGGGGGGAGGACGGGACCGGAGAGGGGGGCGGTGGCCGTCGCCTGGCCGGGACGGGGGTCTCGGCGCTCGTTGGTGCGGCTGGATCCGCGATTCCCGCCGCTCCCCCCCTCGGTGCCGGATGGGGCGGCTGCACCGAGACCGCGTGGTGGGGCGGCGTTTGCAGCGCGGGGGCCGCCTCGGAGCGCCCACCTCCGCGCTCGGGGCTTTCCTCACCGGCGCGCCGCCTTCCCCTTCCTGCGCTCTTCTCGTTTATTTTTAATTTTTATTCATCTTTCGGCGAGTTGAACGCTTGGCAGCCCCGCAGAGGTAGAGAGGAGGGGGGGAAGGCGCGGCCACCCGCGTGTGCGCTCCTGCGGCTCCACCTGACCGGCGGGGCCGCCCGCGAAAGTAGGTCGTTCGCCCCGGGGGGGGTCTTTGTCCCCGCTCCGGCCCCAGCCCCGCCGGCGGTAACGGGGGAGAGCGGGGCCGTCCCCGGGGCCGGCGCTTCCCCCCACGCCACGCGGTGCCTGGCGGAAAGTGGCGGGAGCGGCGCGACCGGGCTCTGCCTTTTCGGGCATCTCTTACTCGCTATTGTTTTGTATTTGTTTTAAACTTGCAGTGTTTTGTGCTGGCGAAGCGCTCCCAGTCGCGCTCTCCCTTTGGTGAGGTAGAAGTCGCCAACTCCTCTCGTACCTCCATCTCGTGAAGGGGATTTAAAGGGACCTGCCAAACCTGTTGTTTACTCGGGCCGTCCCTTAACGCAGCGAGCGGCGCTGAATCCCGCCTGCCCCGGGGCTCCCCTGGTGGCTCTTTCCTGGCGGGAACGGCCCCGGTTTATACTATAAAGAGCCTTGTCTGCGTCAGTCTGCTGACGGCCCGTCCTTTGGACCCAAATTATTTAATAATCATTACAATTGCAAAAAAGTTTGGAGTCGCGCTGTGGTTGTGCAGGCAGCTGGCGCAGGATGCTGCCCCCCAACCTGGCGCTGTGTGCCTGAACACGTGTCTTTCTGGGCTCAAGGCCGGGCCCTGCCACCGTCCCCTCGTGGCTGGGGAGTGGGGAGGAGAAGGCCCGGCGTCCTGAATTGAGCCCAGAACGGCAATAGCTTTGCACTTGTGTTGGAGACCGAGTAACGTACTTGAGCACAACCAGTGAATGCTCTCTTTTTCATTTTGAGTTTTAATTCGGCGCTTAGGAAGGTGGCAGTTTGACGGCCGTGGAGACAACTCTTTAACTGGTTGATAAGGCACGCCAGGAGAGTAATGGTTCCTCAGCAAACTCCTTTACTACTGTGGGTGTACTTACAAAGGTGAGACAGTTTCTGTCAGCCATGTGCTGGGTGTGTGCACCCCCTTCTCTCCAGTCTGCACACAGACAATTTCACTATGTAGTTTACAGCTTTTTCAAATAAAGAGAACAAGATCACACAAATTCTGCACCATAGGGACAGACTGTGAACTAGAAACCTTTCTGCCAACACCAGTGGACACTGACCTCCTTTGGCACACAGGTAAATTCTAGGTTTCTTGGGATCTGTGGTCTGTGGTAGAGAGTCAGCAAGTAGCAAGTCGGAATTTTCAAACACACCCACAGGCATGCAGCATCCAGCTCCCACCGAAAGTAGATGGGATTGAGTGCCAGCGCCTCTGGGAAAAATTCCTCCTCACTTCATTCTCTAAAAGGAGCCAATTGCCTATGTGATCAGTCTTCCTTTAAGAAGAAAATATCACTGACTTCTTAGAAAAGTTTGTTAAAAGAGATGATGAATTCACAGAGGTTAAAAATAAAGTTAAAACTGTAACGGTTTGTTGTCTTACTCGTGCTGAGCAGCTCTTTCTCTGTGTTACCAAACTCTGCTTTGCATTGATTCTTAACAGCTGATGCTTTGTACCTCTTCCTTAACTGAGATCAACGACGACGTACACATGGTTCTACTTGACAGTCAGCTTCACACTTGCACCGCTTGTAACACTTGCTTTTTAACACAAAGAAGGGAGCTGGGGCTTGAAAACTGAGGTTATGCAGAATGCATGAGCAGGACTCCATTTCACAACTTAAACCTTTGCTGTTGTAAAATGTGCTCAGTCCAAAGTCCAAGTGAAATTATTAGTACTATTATTTAAGGAAATGAAAATGTATCCTTTTTTAATGAAGTAACTTCAGCTATTCTGCCAAATAATTACTACTACTTCTGTTCAAATCCCCATCTAGGTATGTTACCCTCTTTAAAAACAAACAAAAAAAAAAAACCCAGCCAAAAAACACAAACAAAACTGTTCAGTGTCTCATGATCTCAAGTGTCTGTGATGGTTTTTCAGTAGCAGGTGATTGCAAACAGCATCATAACAGCTGTGGTGACTGTTTTCAGATAAGCATCTCAGACTGAACTCCAGCATTTGTTTGAGAACATCCTAGGTTTTCCTTGTTGGGCTCGTGCTCGGGCTGAGCATGATGTTAGTTATGCAACAGGAGTTTCGGGCAGGGGGAGTCATCTTTCAAGGTGGAATGTCTGCAGGTGAGGCAGGTTAGGGATTTTTTTTTTTTTTTCCTCCCTGTGCAAATCTTACTGATTACTGTTTTCATGCTTTGGCCTATCCCTTCTTGAGGACTAACCACATGGCAGTTTAGAGGAACACCCAAGTGACTTAGCCCTTCAATTCTGTAGATCAAGTGGGCTAAAAACTTACTTCCCAGTGAAGATCAGCAGGTAACTAGGCTCCTTTGTGACTTGATTGCTTCTGAAAACTTAACTTGGAACATCTTGTGACCTAGCCAGGATGTCCTGAATGCTCAGATGTGGGAAAGAAATGTCCAGTTTGATTTTTGGTACGTGCTGAGTATTTGCTGCCAGTTGCATCTGGTGTGCTAAAATTTTACTGCAGCTCTGAGCACACAACAGTAGCTGTGGACAACTACCAGCAAAAGAGTGAGTAACTTATTTCGGCAGAGAAAAGATTCCTGAAGATGTAGTTTTGAATTTTGCTGGTTTTGCTCAGCACATCGAGTGAAAACTCCACAGCATGCTGTTATATTCAGATGTGTCCTGGGCTGTAAAGGCCAAATACAGCTTTCCTCCAAGTAAAGTTGTTTTGGGTGGAGAGAAGAAGGGAAGTGGAAGGAGAATCTGAGAATATAGGGGACCAGAACAGTGTAAAATAAGCACAATTCCAAGTTATGGATGTTGGAAACTTAGTCTGTCTGTTTTGAGCTATAAGGACAGATGACCAAATGTTCTTGCAGATACTGAAATTGCATTTTCAGATGACGCCAATGAGATTGGTCTCTTTCATCCTTGGAGCATTCTGGCTTCGTGCACGTTAAAGTGTTTTTTTGGGGGGTCCAATTTTAACTTCTGTTCCAAGGGGTTTTTTTTGCAGCTTGTAAACTCGTGGTGGAGGTATGTTTACGTTGAGTCTCTGATATAGATCAGCTCCTCTGTAGATATACAATTTTCTGTCCTACAGTTGATATTCAGTAGAGGTATTGTAGTTTATTTCAGCGGAGGGACAGGCCCAGGAATTTATTGCGAGACAAGCAGCTCTGCTCCTGGCGCCTTAGACAGCTCTGGAAGCATTTTTCGTGTGTGTGCATGTGCCTGGGTGTATGCACTTGCAGATGCAAAAGGCAGAGCATGTATATTCTTTCTATATTAAGGCATCTGTTTCTTTTCCTTTAAAAGAAAGAAAAAAATCATACCATTTTGGCTCTGTTTCTTAGTTCCAATGAGATGCTATAGAGACAACAATTGGGAGACTTTTGCTGACAGGAACCGGCTGCATCATCATGTGTAGGCTAGATCGTATTTTTTTGTAGACCAACTTGAGGGAGACTGTGCCAAGCCTGGTTTGTACACATAAAGGCAAATCAAATTGTTCTGCTGTTCTCTGACAATGTACTGGAAGTTTTGGATTGTACAAAGGGTGAATGATCCAGGGTCAGAATGAGGAAATAGGAAGAGAGAAAGGTATTGAGTAGTTGTACTGGCATCCCTCTGGTCTCCCTTAACTCCAGGGAATGCTTCTCTTTCATCTATGTAACAAGCAGGTGAGCATGTTCATTCCAAGTGGCCTGATAATTGTGTTACAAAGGGAGACATGCCTGCCTTCTAGGAATTCCATCCTTTCTATTATAAAAGGTTTTCATTCTTCTTGGGTGATCAGAAAGAATGCAGAAGGAATCTGGAAAAGCAAATGGAAGTGGCTCAGCTTACTTTAAAATCTAAGAGTTCAGAAGTTCTTCTGTAAACTGAAGACTTACCGAGCATCTACAGCAATGCCTCCTTCTAATTTAGATCATCAAATTAAATTTTGCAAAGAAAACTAAGCACCATATTCTAGTCCTGACAGGCAACAAAAGCACGAAACCATTTTCACACATGTAACGGTGCGTGCTGCTTTGTACCAAACTTCACAAAGGTAATAAGCAGGGTGTGGGGATTCTTTTATTTCCCACCTACTTTATTGTTCTCTTCCTAACTCCAAATTTTTTTGCAAGACAAGTTTCTATTTTTGATGCTGCTTTTCCAAAAGTGAGAGGACAGAATAATGGAGAGAGGTTTTTCCTGGCGTCTTTTCTGAGTCCATTCAAGTTGTTAAAGCAGTTGTGTAAAGCAGAACTTGGAGGAATAGCAACTTCTGCAGGGAGAAGCTGCAGAGAGGGAGACCAGGGAGGAAGAGGAGAACCACTTTTCCCCTGTCTTGGGGGAATCCAACTTCCCTGCTAATGCAGATAAATCTCCATTTCTGTAGAATGACAGATAGACTCCACTGAGATTTCTGATTCTTTGCTGGTGAGCTGTCCCTTTGGCTTCTGCACAACTGCTGATTTTAAAAATGTCATATATTTTAATGACATGCCTAAATTTGGCAAATAATAACAAGCTTAAATAATGTTAACAATATGCTTAAGTTTGGCAAAATTAGGTTGTGTAATTCTTTCTAATTTCTTCACAAGTTACTTAGTTCTGACTTGCCATCTTTTTATCTGTCCCAAATTTCACGTGGTTAAAATACCACAGCTAAGATTCAGGTGTTGGGATAGCTGGCAGTCTAACTTCCTAGTTCTAATTTGAGATTGCAAAGCTTTCAAGTTAAAACCTTTCAAATGGCACAGTCATATGTACTTCTAAGTGCATATTAGCTATTAAGATCTCCAGCTGACAGAATATTTAGTGTATAATGGTCAAATGGCAACTGTTTAGGATTAAATGTGTGACTGGACCGACGCCTTCCATTTATAACTGCACTTCAATGCAGTTGTCAGAGAAATCTGTTTAACTTGTGGTTTTGCTACTAGCTCTTCCCCATTCAGGCATGATGTATGGTAATACTGTTGCTGACCATTCATCAAGTGGGAAACAGATGGCACTAGTTTCCCTTCTATTGAAGGATGGTGTTGAAAGGCTGCTCCTGTGAGAATGGCAGCAATGATGCAAAACAAAATATTTTCAGAATATGTCTTTGATGCCAGTCTTTGCCAGAACATTAATGCATCTTGTTCTACTGTGGTGTAAATACCAGCTGGTGACAGAGATCATCTTATTAGTGTCTGGATTTCTGGAAGAATCTGGGTTAGAAAGCAAATCACATTGTTGATGTTGATATGAGTTCTGTTCTTGCCATGCAGCAGTCAAGATGTACTTGCTGCATAGGTTTTGCAGCATTGATGAACCTTGTGTCTGCAGTGAGTCTTGGACTTTCTAAATAAAAGTACTACCCCAATGAATTTATCATTGGGGTAGTCAAACAACATCTAAAATTGCTGTTTGGAAGTTGAAAATTCCCGGCTGAGTATGCTGTTGCATCTCCAGAGGCTCGTTAAACAGTGTTCGTAATAGAGTGTCTCTTGGAGAAGCACATCAGATGCTAAGAAACAAAATACATACTCTGAGTGTTTGCCTGGACACTGCTGTGTATTTTTCTTGATACTGACCTGATTTGGATGTGCTTTAGTTTGCTACGAGTCCCTGAAAACACAGCCAGCAGAAGCTGAGAGTGGTAACCATCCCTCAGTGAGCCCATTCAGCGGGTCATGGACTGCGTAACTTCTGCCACTCGCACTGGATGCTGTATCTGCTCGTGGCTTCCAGGCTGCTGCTGTGCTGGTGTAGGGAGCAGTGCATCTCCTGAAAAACCTGGCAGCATTTGGGGTGACTTTGCTGCATATTTGCACAAGTCATCTTTGGGAGAATGTACCCCTAGGTGAGCGTGCTGCAAATGTGAAGAAAGGAATACAGCACCTCAAGCCTGTGGTAGACAGCATGGGCTGGGATGGAGTGGGGGGGGGAAAGGAGACACCTATCCCCTCCATCTCTCTCCTAAGCATGGAGGGTCTCCTTGGCATTCAGCTTGCATTAGTCCCTTGCCATTAACAGGCTTTGCAAAGCCAAGAGGAGCCTTATGGGGAGTTGACTGGTTTCTTTCTAAGTGTTTTTGTGGTCGTAATTGCAAGGAGACTCAGCCTCAGTGGGCACCAAGTGGTCTTGTGTGTGCTATACTGAAATGTAAACCTACGCACTCTCAGCTGGATATGGGTTCCTTAATGGATTTTGTGTAAGAGTATTAACCAAAAATATTGGATACGATTTTTGCTTTTCCCTCGTTCTCGGCAGCTTGGGAAACTGTGTGTTTATTTTGCACTGCTGCTGTGCTCTTGATCTTCCCCTCTGTGGTTGAGGGGGATGTATTTTCACCTCTCTGTGTGGAAAACTGTGCTTAGGCCTGGGTGGTTCACTAGCTTTTGCTGTGGTCCCACAAAAACACACAGGATCTCTTTTCCTTGCACAAAATCTCTCTGTCAGTGAGGTAAGCTCAATGCTACATACAGTTGTTTTGTGGAAGCATGTTTTTGACCTCACCTGAACCCGCTTTTCAAATTGTTTTATTGCCATAATTATGTGGCAAGTCTTGGCAGTATAGACTGAAGATTTGAGTTTAATTTTCTCTGTCCTACTGGAAGATACTAGAATTACACTCCTTACCTTCCTTCAGGTGGAAGATTTGGGGACAGATGCCTATGCCACATACATAAACCAGTAACCCTGGTTGGGTTGCTGGGACTTGGCAATCCTTGGGCCTGGCAAGTGACTGGGAGTTCCCTCTCACTAGACTAGCCCACAAGTGATGGAGGTGCTGCTCTCCCAAAAGCCCTGCCTGAGCTACTGGGTGTTTCAGTGGCATTTGTGGGAAGGCCAGGTAGTTTTCTGGTAGTTTCTGTGAGAATATGATGACTTGGTCTTTTGTTAAGGGAAGAGGGGGAAATGTGTTACTTGTGGGGCTCCATCCAATTTTTTAATTTTTTAAAAGCATAAGTTCTCAGCAGTGGGAACCTGTTCTCAGGGAGCTTCCTGCAGCCAGTGGCCTGTCCCCTCTCTGAGCAGATAGTATGTGATAAGCAGCAGAGGTGGCTGCTCACTCCCCGCAGCAGGTGGTTGAGGCAAACCTTGCACCAGGGTCTGTTCAAAAGAGAACTTCTTGGAACAGTCCTTGCCTGTGTTATGAGGCAGATGCTGTGTGGCCTGTGAGGACTTGCTGTGTGTCCAGGCCCAGTGCCAGAAAAGCACCAGCTTTGCTCAGTTGTTGGTTTGGTTTTTTGAAGTGCTGTGGGAACTGTGTTTGCTCTGACAGCTTCTCATGTCGTGTCAGACTGTGCCTAACAGGAATCTGCACTGGGGAGTAGCTGGCACCAGGGGAGAACTTCTTTGGTGGTGGGGACATCATGTGTTGAAAGGATCTTGTGTCGTGGTGACTGCAGTAAATCCACTTGTGACTAACTTGAAAAGTTTCTGCCTGGAAAACAGCCTCACTGTATGACACCTGCTCTGATAGCAAATCCTAGCTTAGGAAAAGAATAGGCAGACCTCTGAGAGCAGGATGGCATTTTTGGCTTTCTGTGTTGGCGCCTAGTTTGCAGAGCTGGTGGTTAAAAAATTCCCTGTAACTGGAGTTCCAGTGTTATTGGCAGCAAAGTGTGGTAGGCACATGCTGAGATGTGCCCCAGGGTCCTGCTCCCTGGCCCTTTTCTAGTAAGGTTTGCTTCCCATGGAAAGCAGGGTGGGGAAGGCAGGAAGGCGAGAATGGAGCATGTGCTGACATGGAGCTGGGATGTGGCTGGGATGCTCACCCAGGCCTGAGAACAGAGCAGTGCTCCTGGGTCCTGCAGCACAGACATGGCCACTGAGGACTGGGTGGGACTCCACCCTGCTGTTTGTGGAGCGGCTTTCCAGGTATGTCTGCCCTACAGCCTCGAGGTATGACTGCAGCTCATTTTAAATTACTCCTACTCACTTGCAGCAAGGTTTGGCAGGGATGTTTCCAACCACAGGTGGTGGTGACGAGGTAGTTCCAGTGACCTGGAGTTCAGCTGCCAGCTCCTTATCCAGGGGCTTGGGCAGATTCACGTGGCCTGTCCTGCAGCCTGTTTTACCACATACACAGGGCTTTCATTAGCCGAGTCAGCTGCATTCACACTTCTGGGTTGTGCTGTTCTAGATGTGCCCTTAGAGTAGACTTGTGCTGTAAATGAGGTTGTTAGGAGTCCTGCTGGGTATTGCTTAATATTCTAGCTGTTAATTACATAATTTTTTTAACAAGTGCATTCTAGGTGCCTCTGCTGTTCTGAGGCAACATGGGATAAAAAAAATGGTGCCCCAATCTAGCAGTTTCCCATCAGAATTATAGTTTACCTTTGCCCAGGTTTTCCTTTCAGTATCTACAGTGATAAGTAACACCAGTTTCTCTTTGTTTTCACAGGCTGCTGCTGGGAAGAAAAGATGTTTGGCTTTCACAAACCGAAGATGTATCGCAGTATAGAGGGCTGCTGTATTTGCAGAGCTAAGTCTTCCAGTTCCCGTTTCACTGACAGCAAACGTTATGAAAAGGATTTCCAGAATTGTTTTGGGTAAGAATCTTTCTTTAGTCAACATCAGTGGTCAGTTATGACATTGATCTCCAGGCCTCCAACCTGATATGTTGTCTTTCTTGACTGAAAGATTAGGTTAGCAGAGGTGAGTGGTGGGAAAAGGCTGCCTGTGGCTTCCTCACAGGTTTCCTAAGCAGACAAGGAGGGGCTGAATCCTCTGCTGCTGTGTACGGTACCATTTTATTTTTGATCTGCTGTTACTGCCCATGGAGAGCTGCTCATTGCCCAAAACAGCAAAGTTTTGGGCTCATGCCTCACTCACCTCACAGCACATGCAGGGATTTAAACCCATCTCAAACTCTGCATTTTTCACTTGTTCCACAGAGGTGTAAATACCTACACAAAGTTATGAACTGTACAGGTCCACGGGGGCTCTCTGTGGCTCTGAAGATTCAAGAATGTTAGATAAAACTTGAGGAGTAAATATTTAGCAGTTTCAGCAGCATTTATGTGGAGTATCTGTTATGGATATTGGTGTCTTTGTTCAAATAGGACATGTCAACTTGTTATTAAAACTTCTCATTGGAAACCCCTTCTGATGGAAAAAGCGAGCATCAAGTAATTAGCTTTCAAATTAGGTAGTGTTGCTTGAAGGCACTGGTAAATAAAACTGTAAATATGAGTGATTTCTTGTGCCAATTACTGTCACCTTTTAAATTTTTTTAAAATACTTTCAAAGAGCTTTGAAATTTTGTATAATTATTCTTACCCCCGCCCCTTTTCTAGAAACTGCTTTCATGTACAGCTTCATAGTGCTTTGTATTTACCATGGATTTTTGTACAGAAATCTGGTGGTGACACTTTTCCTTATCATATTTCTTGACTACTGTCCTTGGCAGTCAAAGACTGTGTGACGATACGTTGCTTTTTTTTTTTTTTTTTTTTTTTTTTTGGTGGTGGTTAACTACAGTGAAGCAGCTTGCAGTGTACCAGGGCCATTGGTCTTATGCTTTCTGTTTGGCAAGGTAAAAATGCAGTCTTAACACTGAGCAAATACCTAAGCCTGCCCCATTCATCTATAAATCTTCAAAGTCTACCTGTTTAAATAGCTGAAAAATTCTACAGTGTTTCCCCTTTATATTTCTTTTAGCATGGATTAGCAGTAGAGATGATTCCTGAAGAAAGCTTGTTAAAGGGAGCGAGTATTGCTGTCATTCCAGTGACTGGTGTTTCTGAAACCTTATCCTCTGCTTATGTGGGAGTGTGTTAGGTGGTATTTGTTACTCATCCTTGAAGCTCTGTGAGAAAGTTAAGACCTGAATAAGCTGCTCGTGTTTGTTCCCAAATGTACGTTTGAGGAATATGATTATTCCTCCTTCTGCAATCAAAATAATAAACCCACTGGAACTGTGTGTTGTTTTCTGGGTTTTGCAGGGGAAAAAAACCCAAAACCTGAAGGTGACAGGACTGTTGTTTTCAGTGCCCCTCTGGAGGCAGATTATGACACCTTTTATTTCTGTGTGGAAGAGTGCATTTTGAAAGTGAGACCTGGTCTTCAAATGGCAATGTTTGAGCATCCTAGATGACTTGAAATGCCTGAAAACAGAATTTGAGAACTCCTCTTATTCATCAATTTTTATGCTTCTTGCTGTTATCAAGTGGGGATATGCTTTTATTAACTGTAGTTAAGTGATTTTTGCTTTTGTTTTTACCAGGCTCCATGAGGCCCGTTCAGGAGATATTTGCAATGCCTGTGTTCTTTTGGTGAAAAGATGGAAAAAATTACCAGCAGGATCCAAAAAAAACTGGAATCACGTTAGTAAATATAAATTACTCTTCCATCCCCAAACCAACTCTTTCTAGAGAGTGGAAGTGCTGGCAAAGATTTGGGGTTTGCTCTTTCCCCCACCACGCTCTCTCTTCCTACTCTCAGCATCTCTAAATACTTCCTGAAGTATTTCCTATTTTGTGGCTTTTACCTGCCTTCATTTGGCTTATGTGCAAATGGTGATTATGCAAGCCCGAGATGGAGTCACAAACTGACTTACCTTGTAATTCCTTGTTTTCACAAGCTCATAACTTTGTCCAAAAGTCTCTTATGACACTCAAAACATTTCAAATTTGGCCTCTATCCAAAATTGGTTGCTTTTTTTTTTTCCCTAAGCGACTTGCTCCAGCAACACATAAATCAATGTCATTTAACCAGATAATTACAATGACTAATATCTTGCAGCAATTCCCACTCATATATTCTTGTTTGATATACCTAATTCAGTTTGGGCCTAGGGCCGGGAAGATGATCAGGATTCCTTATGTATGTAATAATCTTTATCCAGGAAGCCTTGATGGTAATGGGAGCCAGAACTATAGTTATCACTACCACTAGCTTTGCTCAGAGGTTAAATTTAAGATTAAAAACCCAAAAACTCCAGAGCAAATGCTTGGCAGACACTCCTGAGTGTACCTGTATTAGTTTAAACAACTGTTGTGTGCTAAACTGAATTTGTCAAAAATGCTAAGTGGGCAAAAGTTGAACTAAATGTGCTTTTAAACTAGTTTTCTGTGTTTTCCTACAGACTCAGCCTCTTAAAAGCCAGATTTAAATGAAACATAAGAGTGTCACTGCACAGAACTGCCTTGGATTAACTAAATTGGTTTTGAGCACCTTTAACTGAGTCAGTGCAGGTGCCTTGGCTGGGGCAGTATCTGGGCATGATGCAGAAGTGTTAGGCATGCATTTTCTGTGTTCTAGGTGGTAGATGCCAGGGCTGGACCCAGTCTTAAAACAACTTTGAAACCAAAGAAAATGAAAACTCTGTCTGGAAGCAGAATAAAGAGCAATCAAATCAGCAAACTGCAAAAGGAATTCAAGCGGCACAGTAAGTGGATCCAAAGAGATTTTGGCAATAAACTTTAGCCTCCCCTCACATAGCTTACAGTTAACTGGCCAAGTTGAATCACCATCTAGATTTGACTGTACACTCACACATTTGGGCGCTGCCTGTTTTCACAACCTCTTGTTCTCTTAGACCTTGGAGAGGGGGTGGAATGAGGAGGAAGGACGTGTGTGCAGGGTGGGTTGCGAGACAGAGGTGGGGAAGTGGCAAGGGGGGAGTGTGAAGCCTGGCTTGTAAGAGTGGGTAGTTGTAGCTTATGTCCAACAACACTTAAATGACATGACATGTCTCTAAAAAGAATGTCTTGGGCAAGACCCTCTTGGAAGCTGAATCTGGAAGAGGCTTCCCCCTACTCTAAATAATGTGCTATGGCCATTTTTCATCTCTCTTTTCCCAAGAAAATTTCAGTCTTTTTCTTGCATACATGTTTTTAACCCAGCCTTTGTATTTAGCCTAGACTTTCCCTCACCCACTCCTACTTTAAATTCTTACCATATTTTTTTATACCTTCCTCTACTGGTCTCAGTGATTTCTTTCCAGTAGCACATGGACTATTCAAATGGATTTGGATTCATAGCTTTCCAACAAAGCCATCTGCCAGTTATATTCTAAATATATGTTGGTATTTAAGGGTTTTTTTCTGAAGCAAACCTAACTTAACTGTTGGTGACTTGGTCTTCTCTCTCTTTCATTTATCCTACCTGGCTTGAAGGAGAAGTCTCCAAAGAATCAGTAAAGGCCCTGATCCAAAGAGCTTGTATCTCCTCATTCAATGTGCTATAGTTAATGTAGTTGTTTTACTGTGCCAGCTAGAGATGACAGCTGAAAGGTAGGTGAGTAGACACTCTGTTAAGGTGTGTGTCTGCACAGAGTCTGTAGTTTATAGTCTTGATCCAGCAAAAGCTCAATACTACCTAATTCATAATGAGAATATACACACACACACACATATAAAGCACTAGAGAGAAGAGCTTTACAAGACTTTACCTGAACAGGTGAGAAAGACGAGTTACAGTGAGAGAGAAAGTAGTAGGTATGAAGAGTAGATCCCGTTGTCTTGAAGGATCTTCAGTGATCCCAGAGCATGGCCTGCATGGGCTGTGTTTGAGAGCCAGGAACTGAAGCCTGATCCTGAACCTCTTTCCAATCTCTCATGTGCAGGGACCCCCTCTAGTTCGAATGTCTGCTTTGCAAATGCTGACAGATTGCCTCTGTAGTGAAACCTGGTGGGGGCAAGTTAAAAAAAATGGGTTGTCATTGCTAGGTTTATCTTATTAATTAAAAAAAAAAGTCCTTTTCTCTGTTCCCAGTCCACATGTGACCTTTTACAAGTCAGGAAGAGGATAAGTCTTTGGATGCATGTCCTCAATTTGGCATGTATTCTTTCCCCTGCAGATTCTGATGCCCACAGCACGACTTCCAGTGCCTCCCCGGCTCAGTCACCCTGTTACAGTAACCAGTCTGACGATGGCTCTGACACGGAGATGAGCGCTGGGTCCAGCAGAACACCAGTTTTCTCCTTTTTAGATCTCACATATTGGAAAAGGTAAAAAGGTGCACTCCCTGCAGGTGGTGACAGACATCACATGCACGCTGCTTGATTCTGCTTCTTCAGGAGTTCATTGCTGCTGAACTTTTTTTGGTTTGAGGATATAATTTAAGTCCCAGAGCATTACACGATACCTGCCTGTTTTTCTTTGGGAAGAAATGCTGTGTACTTGAGGCATTTTCCCCTATCTCCTTCCAATACTAATGCAGGTGCTGGAAAATATTTTTGCTGGTTTTGGGAGCAACAGATAATATTCCTGTCTGTCATTATCTTTTCTTAAAACTATGCCCTGTAGATGTGATGTGTTGCCAAATACACGAGTGTTCTCAGCTTGCGAGCAAACATAGCATTTGATTTAGTTGACCTGTGATGGTAGTCATTTGGAAAAAAAAAAAAAAAAAACAAACAACAATAAATCCTGGAGTGGGAGGAAAACCACAAGGTTTTCTGGGAGCTGACGAGCTTGTTATCTTCTATTGCATGTTGTGACACAGTAATCCCTTGTTTAGCTAATTGCTCCATTGAAATTGTTGTGACTTTGCTGCCTCCTCTCAAATAATGTTTGCAAGTGCATTATAGCCAAGGTTAGTTCAGCCCAGATAGTTGTGTATCTGAAATTTCCCTGGGAAGCAAAGTGGGAGACTTAGTTTTGTAGAGACATGTTTGGATTTTTTCCTCCATATTTTTATTTCTTCCCCAAAGCAGTGTTGTGGATGTAGACACAGACTTCTTTTCTCTTTTTAAGCAGCCTTTTTGCCCCTATCCTCTGAGCTGGAGGCTCAGTAGTGTCTGGGGTCAGACTTATTTTTTGCATGTTTGTAAATTCTGTATATTCTAAACACACAAAGTATCTGTCTCCCTGCCATTTCTTCCAGGCAAAAGGTCTGCTGTGGAATTATTTACAAAGGTCGTTTTGGGGAAGTCCTCATAGACACTCATCTCTTCAAACCTTGCTGTAGCAATAAAAAGTCTGCCACTGAAAAGCCGGAACAAGAAGGACCACAGTCTCCAGCAATCTCCACCCAAGAGGAGTGGTGACTTCCTTGGATAGCTGCAGAAGGTTACACAGATCCTCTTATTCTCTGGAAAAATACTAGAAAAGTGACTGTTCACTTTGGACACCTGCTATGCTGCCAAAAGACTATTCCCTAGAACTGTTTTGGGTTTTACTGCTACAATTCCACAAACTCTGAAGCCAGTTTGTATCCTTTCAGAAAGACTGTACATAATATTTAAGATGCTGTGGAACACTTGGCAAAGCTGAATGCTGCTGCAAGGTTGTCTAATCTTCCCCCCACACTCACTTCACAAGTGAACATGAGGATGGGGTTTTATATATTAAAGTATATGTAGTTCATGTTTCTGTAATTGAAAGAAGCAGTGGTTGTAAGGCTTTTTTTTTTTCTTTAAAAGTTGATTGGTAAACTCCCTTAAATCCCCGAGAAAATATTTCATTCTTAGACATGTATGAGTCAATAAGATGAACTAATACATAGAAATGTTATAAGTCACCTCTCTAGTTATATAAATATATATTTTTAAAGGTGTGGAGATTTCACCCTGTACTACTGATGTAACAAAGACAAATATTTCGTCCCTCCTTTGTGGCACAGACTGGTAAACTGCAGACATCTCTACTGTGAGTGGTAGCTTGCTGAGAAGGCCTCTAACATACAGTCCTCCTCAGAAGGGGTGGGAGAGCTCTCCACCTTAGCTGAGGAGGAACATAGCAAAATGGGAGGTTACTTTGTTTTAAGCCATCACCAGACACCCCGGGCGTGGTGTAGTAACCAGCTGGTGGTTAGAGGTGGACCAAGAAACATCTTGATGCCTACATTAGGTGTAAATGATGGCCAAAACCAAGTAACTCCTCTCAGTTGGCCCAGTGCAGCTGAAATGTGACCACAAACAAGACTCCTCCTGGTTTTGGACCTGACATAGAACCAAACCCCTCGCTAAGCAAATCAGGCTCTGGTCCAGGGACATAATCTGATTGCAGCCTGGGGTCTGGATTCACAGTTGCTGTTTTGAAACCCTTCCCCTGCAGTGCTTCTCTGTGTTTGGGTTTTGTTTTTTCTGTTTGTTAGTTTAAGCAGCTGCCAGATCAACGCTTTTGTGAATTTGAAAAGTTCTGTTAAGAATGGTGCTGTGCTGAATCAAGGCAGAGCTCTGTTTGCATTCGTGATCAAAAGATAATACTTTCTACATAGATTCCCAGAGAAGCTCATGTGCAAATCATTGTGACACTCCTTCAAGCTCCCCTTTGCCTTTGTGGGGTGGAAGCAGCTTCCTGGAAGATTGTGCTGCCGTTTTAGTTCCCAATTGCTTCATGTTCCTTTTATGAAGGTTTAACTTGTGTGAGTTGGGAATTCTGCTTTTTGTTTCTTTGGTTTTTTCCTGGTTTTGGGGGGAGGGTTTTTTTTTCTTCTTACAATTACTCTTTTGGGATATCCTGCAATGGATTGCTACGTGGTGTGATTCTTTGGAGCTGTGCTGCACAGGGCCAGGAGTTGGAGTCGATGATCCTGATGGGTCCCTTCCAACTCAGCATATTCTATGATTTTAAGCTTTCCCTTTTGTGAGAGTCATCAGCATAATACTGTGGTGGGTAGGGTTTAGGACTGGATTTCCATGTAGTCTCCATTCCTGAAGTGGGAATACTTAGCAAATGAAAATATAGATAGGGAAAGATATGCAGGTTTTAAGAGGAGCCTCTGTCCTCAAAGCTTTTTTTCTTTCTTTCTTTTTTCCTCTCCTTCTGTTGGGTAATCCAACCTCTGGAGAGAAAGAAAAATCAGGGGAAACAGGGCTTTGACTTATCACAGCCTTACAGCTTAGAGCTTTCATTGGACTTATTTTGCTTTTCCTAAACTCTGGAGGTTCTGAAGGGAGGACAGAGCTGCTTACCTTGCTTTCATCCTCAATGAAATAGAATCATTTGGGTTGGAGAAGACCTAAGATCATCGAGTCCAGCCATAGATATAATGGACACTTGGTTGTGTAAAAGCATAACTAGGTTGATCATGTCCAATAAGGGCTTGAGCAAGAGTCCTTGCTAGTTTTGCAGACACCTGTTTCATATGAATTTGTGTTTTCAGCATCAGTAATTCTGTACACCTAAGGCTGCAGTATTGGTGGTCGGATGTGCTCTGATACGAATCATCTCTTCTGTATTTATTTATTTATTTCTAGATTTCAACCACCAACTGCTTCCCCTACTCCTTCCCACCTCTTCCATTCCTGGTAGTAATGCAAAATGAACTGTATGTAGTCATGCACTTTGTATTAATGTATTAGAAATCTATGGAACCTGTTTTGTACTTTTATACTGTTCAGACACTTGTAATCCAACCTTTTTTTTACTAGGGTAATGAATAAATTTAGACTTATTTAGAAAATAAGCAACTTTTCCCCTGTTTATTTCAACTCTCTTCTGTTAATTAGACTTGGTGCTGGAACCAGGCCAGACAACCTGTGTTTCTTTTTGAACAACACTAAGACTTTTGTTTTTCTTCTTCTTTTTTTGAGGTGGAGTGAGGTAATTCTCTTCGAATTTAATTTGGAAAGAAGAGCAGAGCAAAGGAAGGAGATGGCGTTTGTTACGGCAGGCAGCTGTCTCAGGGCAGAATCAGAGCTTTCCCTTGGCTCCACATGTGCGTCAGGCATTCCTTCCCTGGGAATGGATGGTGCTGACATTTGGTGTTCCCTTGCTCTCTTTCTAACTCACCATCATTCATTGAAGGCCAGCTGAAGTAACAGTTCAGTGGTGACAGCATTTGGGAACATCCCTTTCCAGATCCAGCGGAGTCGGTGGCAGAAACTGGTGCTCTTCTACTGGAGCTGGAGCCTGGAGTGTTCCTTCCCACGACAGGCGTAGTCAGCTGGATAAGCTCCAGCAGACTGGTGGGAGCAAGGTCTCTGGTAGGAGCTGTCCATGAGTAACCAAGTTTAGAAGATAATGGGGAAAACATTGGAACTTAAGCTTGTTGCAAGAGACTATTTTGGACTTTAGTGGAGATGCTGATTTATTCCTGCTGAGACACTGGCTGTTTTGTTACAAATTGAGTAGGATGATATTCAGAGATTTATTTAAAAATCCTGTCAGAGAAAGCCCTGCATAGACTGCAAGACCACGTGATTTTAGTACAATAGCATCTGTTTTGGATGTGTTAACATTATTTGCTGAAGATGTGAGCATAGTTCGGTTCACCTAAAACGTAAAGGTCTATCTAAAATTACTGAACAGAAGCAGGTGCGCCAAAAGGTGGTTTAAAGCAGGTAACCTGCTGTGTAACCCATTCTTTGCAACTTTCCATCCTGTTTCAAATGATTAATACCTTCTCTTACACTGCTGCTGTACACCGGTGACTACAGCTACTGTCAGGGTAACCTCTGGGTGCTGAGAACTTGTGTGTGGATGGACAGAGGGCTTTGTTTGTGGGCAGAAAACCTAATGGAGGGTTACAGCTGAGGAGGAGGAAGCTCCTATGGGAACATTGGGGAGGCATCTTCAGAGCAATGTACAATGAAATCAGGAAGTAAAATCCTGGGTCAAGCCCTCCTGTGCTTCACCTGAATCAGCTGTTGCAATGGCAAGTGTGTCATCTGCTAGAATATCTCACAGTGCACGCATTGTAAAGGTACTTTACAGAGGATTCTATTATACTCAAAGACAAGAAAAATGTGGCATGTGACAAGAAAATACTGTGTTGGAGGCCACCAATGGACAGGGAGCAGATCCGTGATTTCCAGAGCCTGAGCTGGGTGTCTGGCAAGTTCTGTTTGCTTTCGTATGGTGCTGCATGAAGAGCAATTTTATTCTGATTTGTGCAATTTTAAAGTTTCTCAGTGACTTCCACAGCACTGAGCCTATGACCTGCTTTCTGAGCAGATGACGGTGTCATCCAGCTCCAGTGACCAAAAGTTGCAGCTCTTATGAAGTCATATTAAAGCTGAAGTTTCAATATGATGTAAGAAAAAGGGAAACCTCCTAAATGGTCCTTGTAGTATGTAATGCAATTTTTTATGTTGTTCATACCAGGGGTAAGAGCAATCTGCCATGTATTCTGCAGACCTGGTCCTGCGAGTGCCAACACCAGAGACACAACTAACTCCCTTTTGGTTCTTGTTTTCTGTTCTCTTCCTGTGAAAATCTGTCCATGAGGAGGAAAGGGAGCACATATCCAGATTCTGGAAGTGGCACCAGGAAAATGCTGCTTCCTCCATATAAACAGTCTACAGTAAACAAACACAAACTCCATGCTCCCTTTCAGGATAACTATATATAGGGTTTGTAAAGCTGTTGGAGGTATCTATTTGGTTGTAAAGGACATCATGTAGCCAATGCAGCCTTTTCAGCAAACCCCACTTTGCTGTTTGGAGGAGAGGTTCCAGTTTGTATTTCTATTGTAAATTCCATGTTTGTATTGCCCTGCAGCAGCTTTGAATTCTGTTGGTGATGAAGAGGTAAGTTAATGGTTATGGGCTTATAAAGAAGTTAACACATTCTGGGAGAAAAAATGGTATGCAGAGCACTCGTGTACTCAAAATCCTGAATGTATTTGGAGTGGACATGGAGTGAATATTTCAAGCCATGTAGCACAATGAATTTAGAGTTTGTTTCTCTTTTACATTTATTAGTGAGAGTTATTTGGAGAATACTTTCTGCTGTATCTGAGAGAGAGGTTATCCCTGCAGGAGTCCATGACATCTGCTTTGCTGTAGCCTCCAGCCCAGTAGAAGACTGATTGGAAAGGGACAGACTGCTCAGATGAGCCAAAGCCCTCAGTTCTGGGGAAGGGACTGTTCAGGATCCTGCTCAGCCAAAAAAGAACTCTCACTGCTGGAACCTGTGACCCTAGCCCTGGCTAGGTTTCCCCGATAGCGGGGAAAACACGGACGTTTAGGAGAAGGTTGAGAAGCCTCAGCCCCGGGGACCGCCGGTGCCGCGGGTGCGAGGCCGGGCCGGTCCCTCCCGGCGGCCGCGAGGTGGCGCTGGCCCGGCCCGGCCCGGCCCATCCCGGTAACAGGGACCGCCCGTCCCTTCCCCGGCTGGCAGTCCTGGCGTCCAGGACATCCCCGGCACAGCCCAGGAATGGAGCTGTGAGTTGCCCTCGCTCAGGCATTGCCGGCAGCGCTCGGCTCCCTGCACCGCACCGGCACGGTCAGCACCTCCGCGCGTGGAGTATGAGCAAGGACCTCCTCCACGGGCACGCGAAGCTGGGGCTTTAATCACTTTAATTCCATCTCAGCAAAGAGCTACTGCCCCACCAAAAAAAAAAAAAAATTTATTTTTTTTTTTTACCTAGGCAAACCCAAGTGTACCTGAAGTGATGATCTTTGTTGTCAGCCAGAGTAAATAAGTGTCATTGTCTCATCCAAGCCAGATGCCACCAGCTAAAGGGTTTGGCCTGCTGAAAGTTGTTAGAGACTGTAAGGGATGCAGGGGAATCACTGCTAGTGGGATCACTTAGCAGGGAAGACAGCCCAGTGGGTGATGCGCATGTTTGTCAGCTCTGATTGCTGCTGTGTGGTGATGTTAAGTTAAATTGGCCACTTCTGTTAAGGATAACAAAAAGTCCTTCTATAAATACATTAATAACAGAAGGAGGGGCAAAGAAAACCTCCATTCTTTGATGGACTTGGAGGGAAACATAGTTAATAGAGATGAGGAGAAGGCTGAGGTACTTAACACCTACTTTGCCTCAGTTTTTACCAGTAAGACAGGTGGCCCTCAAGGCAACTGGCCTCTGGAGCTGGTAGACAGAGATAGGAAACCAAATAGCCCCCTTGTATTCTGGGA